TCCTGTGGGAGGATAGTAAGGTCTGGCTCTGCTCCAAGGGGTAGTAGAAGCACCTCACCTATTAACCACTAAGGAAAGAGAGAACTGAAATCTATAAGTACATTAGTATGAATTATGAATTCATATAAGTACAAAATAACTGCACCTGCCAGTACTCCACACGGTGCTGCCTGTAACCCATGCAAGCAATCACTATCACTCAAGCATCCCAAGACATTTCAAACAGGATTATGAACAGAACTTTACTCATCACATATTTGAAGAGCTAGGTTCTTTGTCTTCCTATTCTTTTCCCTGCCAACCCGCCATTTTGCTACCTGGGCCACCACTCCCTGATAGATTTTCCTCCATTCTATGAACATCTAGCTCTGACTTCACCGCTATTAACATGCAGTAATGACACTTGCAGGAGGTCGTTATCCAAGAGCATACTGGTTAAAGGTCTGCCATATAGCACGTGGGTTGTTTTTTTCCGGGGGTTGTGCTTTTTTACTGGCTGGTTCAAAGGACCTGATGCATTCAATACATCTCATAATCTTCCCTAGGCTAAATGTTAATTAAAACTAACTGAATGTAGTGCTGGTGAGGGGTGCTGTAATGATAGCATGAAGTCTTCTATATACCAGCATCATGGGAACCAGCAGAAGTGGAAGTTTCCCCTCTGTCCAGCCAATGTGCTTCAAGCCTGAGCAAAAGAGACCACATATAGGAGCGGGAAGGGAGCTCAGAACTGGATTAGAAAGCAGATTGCTTGACTCCTATTCCTGTCCTTTAACCACTAGACCCTGCTCATATGGTGAGGATCAGAATCTTGGTCCAAGGGCCAATTAAACACTTTGGATCAGTAGGTTCAGAGGACAACTTATTAGCTGGACTTTGGAAGACCCCAGGTTTTTGTCATGGGATACTTGCTTCAATGGACCATTTGAGATGTTGCACTGTTAGAGCATCATTCGGGGTGGCCATATATATACCTCCTTGAAGACCACCAAACTCCAGTAGAGAGGTTTGGGAAGCCAAGACAGGATTGTGTCACATGAATTTTGTGGAACCTCTAGGACAGTGGGTCCCAACTTGTTCCGCCGCTTGTGCGGGGAAAAGCCCCTGGCAGGCTGGGCCAGTTTGTTTACCTGCCGCGTCCGCAGGTTTGGCCGACCGTGGCTCCCAGTGGCCGCAGTTCGCTGCTCCAGGCCAATGGGAGCTGCAGGCAGCGGCGCGGGCCAAGGGCGTTCGTGGCCACCGCCGCCCGCGGCTCCCATTGGCCTGGAGCAACGAACCGCAGCCACTGGGAGCCGCAATCGGCTGAACCTGCGGACGTGGCAGGTAAACAAACCGGCCCGGCCCGCCAGGGGCTTTCCCCGCACAAGCGGCGGAACAAATTTGGGAACCACTGTCCTAGGATACTGATATAGAGTCTTGGAGAATCACTGAGTACAGAAGCCAGTGTGTCTCATTAGGATCTCACAAATATTCCAAGCCAGTAATGACTCACACTAATTTCAAGGAGTTGTGACTATAAAATATTTCTGGCCCATGTCATAGTGTGTTTCAAATCTCCAAGGCATTGCTAAGATACAATCAGAGTTTTAGTGCACCAATTAAACATTTCATGTGCTGTCAGTTCCAAAAATCTAAAGGCAGTTGCTATGTTTCCAAAGGAACTTTAAACACACACCTGTCCCCCTGGTAATCAAAGGGCTGAAGAATCATTTCAGTTGGAGAGGTCTTGTCTACGCATGCTCTACTCAATTATCCATCAGATGATTGCAGCTTTCACAAGCCAGTTGTAAAGATGAAATGGCTTGTGCCTTCCACCTGGAATCACCTAATGGCTTTATATCACTCTGCAATTCTACTCTCCAGGCTGTTGCCTCCCTTCCATCCATAGCCTGACAAGGTTGGGGAAATGCCTAGCCCATCACTAGAATTTCTAAGAGACAAAGGCCACCTTGACCAATTGCTGAACAGCCACATGGAAAGGTGAAACAATTTCACCTTTCACACAATCCTATTAATGGAAACCCCAGACTACAGCTGACTTTCTGTTTCAGTTCACTATGGTTTTATCTCTGTAATCTTTTGCAGAGTCAAAAATGAAATCAAGGATAAAACTGCCAGTGCAGAAGCCTTTCTGATGAGAGAGCCAAGCTGGGTTAAAATAACGTCTAAAGGGGATAAAGACAATGGCCTCAATCAAGCCCTAGTGGATACATGTATATGGTGCAACCACTACCTATTTTGGAATGATTGATTCAGGGGAGGCTAGAATGGCAGCACGGAATTAAGATGTATTGGCAGGGCAGCATGGGGGCCTAAAACCCGAATTATGAGATGTTATCGGAGGGTGGGCAGAACAAGGAGAAGCAACTTGCACAGCTTCTTTTGTTCAATAGATGGCCGGTGCTTTACAGTTCCCACACACAACTGTCAGTGGCTTAGGCCCATTAGGCTCCTTTCCAGAAGCTACATTAGCATGTACAGCAGAAGCACTGCTCACAAATGCAGGGCAAGCAGATTTCATCTCAAGAACATTTTCCAAGTTCCAATAAGATTTAAGTTACCAACTATTAAAAGCTTCCTGCATTTAACATTTCACTTACTCTTTCTCCATTGATAGCACCTTCCAGCTGAGGATCTCAAACACTTTACAAACAGAGGCAGCCCATGCCTCTCTTTCTCCTTCCACCCTCTGTGTGTGTCTTCTCCATTTAGAATGTAAGCTGTTTGGGGCAGGAACTGCCTCTCAGTATGGGTTAGTAAGCACCCAGCCTCACTGGGATCTGCCTCTCTGCACTGTCATACAAATAAAACACTAGCAAGTTAAGCCTCATCACACACCACTGTCTCTACTGTCTTTGGCTAGATCCACACTACCCGCCTGATTCGGCGGGTAGAGATCGATCTTCTGGGATCGATTTATCGCGTCTCATCTGGACGCGATAAATCAATCCCAGAAGCGCTCCCCCGTTGACTGCGGAACTCCTGCTCGCCGAGAGGAGGAAGCGCTGTCGACGGGGGAGCTTGCCTGAGCTGTGTGGACCCGCAGTAAGTAAACTTAGTTCGATCTAGGAAACGTCGACTTCAGCTACGCTATTCTCGTAGCTGAAGTTGCGTTTCCTACATCAATCCCCCGCCCCAGTGTGGACCAAACCTTTGTCTAGATGGGAAACAGAAGGAATTTGGCAGCCTGGTTTTCAGAAGAGCTGAGCAACCACAAATCCACTGAACCCCCTGGCAGCTGCAGGGGAGCAACACCTTTGAAAATAGGCTCCAAGGCCCAGATCCTCAAAAGCATTTAGCTGCCTATCTCCCACTGAAATCAATGGCAGTTAGGTGCCTAAATACCTTTGAGGATCCAAGCCTCAGTGATCTGCACAAGATCTCACAGCAAGTTTGTGGCAGATCTGGGAACAGAACCCAGTCTCTGGCATCCCGCTCTATTTATCTAGGTTCTTATCATGCTGATGGGCCCCATGATATCTGAAAGCCAAGTGCTGTGTTTTAACCACTCTGCATCATGCGTCTCCTTATATAAACATTTGCTGTTACAAAGAGTACCCTGATTAAAGCTGGCACAAGGCAGCCTTCGTGTCTGGAATTATGAAGAAGAGACGTGGGTCAAAATGTGCCAATTTGCTTAGGCTAACAGAAAACTGACAAAGTGCTCAGCCTCCCACTTCAATTGCATGGTAGCGGGAAAGGAAAAAAGCTTCATCTTTATTTACAGCACAGCAAACTACATTATATAGGATAAAACATCCCCTGCAGGCCAATCACCATCCCCTAGTTACCAGATATTTGACATTCCTTTAACCATCACTGAGCACAGCCATCCCAATGTGCCACAGTACTTGCAGTCACGTGTACTACTGATTACCAACACCTTTTGATCCTACAGAGGGAGACCCCTGCCCACACAGAACTACTTAATCTGGCACTGCCATGCCAGCCAAGACTTTCAAAAGTGTCCAGTGATTCTAGGTGCCTCCATTTTTTGGTGTCTAACTGGGAATACCTTTCAAGAGGTCTGATTTCCAGAGGGCAAAGGCTCAAGCCTTTTTGAAAGAGGTCCCTTTGAAGTGTCTCAAGCTAGACACCTACAATTCAAAATGAGTCACTTTTGAAAATCTTGGCCATGGTGCCCAGTGGTTAGAAGAACCAGGGGGCAGAGATATGGGAGCTGCACGCTGCATGCTCTTTAGCATGTCACCTAGCCTCCTTGGTCTTAAGTCAACTCAGACAGCTGCTTGGGAAGAAAGCAGGATTTCCTTCAAAACCATATGCTGCAGCGAGCCAAGCTCCCATCTTCACCCTGAAAGACTCCCGAATTAGTGCCCATTATTGCTCCTGCCACTAACCCAGAGTCTGCAAAGCAGTAAATAGCACATTAAAAAAAACCCAGCCACTTTACATTCAAAATAGCATCATTTCTGGTGCTGATTGCCTATATTTATTCAAAAGCAGCACTTTAAATAGCAGATTGAGCTGGGTTTTTCCCTCCTTTTGTGCCAGTTTTCTATACATTCGTTATTTGTTAGAACTGTTCATCACAAAACTTTCAAACATTAATATAGAGGGAAAATAGCTTTGTAATACCAAGACAACCAGGAGGGCTTTTCTGCATTTCCAAGTGCTCATACAATGGTAATGGGTATTATGGAGAACCCTAAGGCAGACAGACACCGCGGCAGGGCTAGCGTTTGATTTCTGATCATAGGAACTTGGGCTGGCAAGTCCAAAAGAGTGGTAGGAGCAGAAACGTAAGACATTTGTCAATGGGAGGAGGAGGAAAGAGACCTCTGCATGGCATTCACTGGCAGACAATTGGGGCGGAATAAAGGAAAGAGGGATATGCTCTGGAAGTAGTCTTCCCAGCCAGAAGCATGGTGGCTATGACACTGAAGTAGAGGTAAAAAAAATCATCAGGGTTCTCATTGGAATGCAGACTTTCCCCCTCCCACCGGCTTTTTCTTCCCTGAAAGTTAAAAAAAAGAAGTTACCTTGCATTCCTTTAATGCAGTTGCTGCCCAAGCCAAGAAATATACAGCTGCTCATACAGATCAGTGACCTAGATTTGCAGCAAGATCAACATGTAGGCAGAGATCCGTCCTCACAGAGATTACCTGCTTCTTCTCTTCCTTTCACATGCAACCAACATGAATCAAAGCAAGTCCAAGGTTCACCTTTATAACTTTTTGTCCAGCTTTCAATGCAAATGAGAGGGGTAGGATGGAAATTGTCCAGGTGACGGGGCAAGTCTCATTGGTGCCTTGCTGCACCTGCCCTTTGTTTGTTTAAAACCAGCCTCTGGCTTTATTGATGGGCAAATGTCCAATGGACCTCACTAGAAACCTACAAGCAAACAAAAGAGGGAGAGGTGGGAGGGGAGGATATCATATGGTGCTTCTCTCCTGTCCCTTCCAGCAAAGTCTCAATGTTTAACAATACGCTGCTTAGCAAGAGCATTTATCTTTTCTATCAGATTAGAGCCCCCAATGATACGTATTTTGCTTGGAGTTAATTTTATTTGACAACTACAAAAAATTGATCTTTACAAAACATTTAGCATTTTGGGAAGCCTTAACTGGATAAGAGCTGAGTATCTGACAGAACAAATTACAGTGTGTGAATGCATATGTGGCCAAATACTTGATTACATGACATCTAGTTAGGAAGAATGAGAAATGCATTTCCTGTAGCTTCAAAGAAATACCAGCTTGTATTTCAGTGCTGTTTAATGACTCTTCGTGTAACCAGTTCAATTCCCAGTGGCTTGTTAGGATAATGTTATCAGTTAAGTGAAACTTTGTTATGGGTTCAGTTTATACCTCTAAACTGATCTCTGAATGAGTCCCCCGTTTAAGTCAATTGTAAGAGACAGTTAAGGGGCCACCCTTGAAGCAGAGCCTAATAGTCTGCTCAGAAACTAGCACCAAGTGGGCAGATGGTTCGACTGGGTATTGTGACTGTGTGCGCGTTGGCAGGAGATAACACACACAAACTGAGAATAGACTGAGACAGACTGAAGAAGCAGCTGAAAGCATGTGGCTGGACCCTGGAAAAAACCTGGAGACTTTTTTTTTTGGGTCGGGGTGCAGGGTGAAAAGGCTGCTCTTGGTGAACAAAAGAAGCTGTTTCCTGTTATTTGATCCCTTCTGCATTCAGAGACACAGCACTTTGTACAGTCTTTGTAAATAAACAAAACGGCATTGAAGAAATACCCGACTATCACCAAATTCTGCTCCCAACTGGATCACCCACAGGGCCATAAACTTTGACTAGCCACTCAGGTCAAAACGGAGCAAACAACATCTGTCCCTGGAAAGAATAGCATATCATAGGCTTTGCCTTATATTCTGCAAACATCTTGAAAAGCTCTGTTTATACAATGTGCATGATTGGTAATGTTTTTTTCTGTACAGGTACTACCGGGCACACTCCACTAGCTAGTATATTTAAATCTGTGGAATAGCAGCATGTTTCGCTGGTTGTCAACTAGATTTCAGTTACACTTGTTCAGCCATGACTATTCAGCATTTTACTTCCCCAAATGATGTCTGCTTCATCCTTCTCCAAACTAGTTTATCATCACTGTGAAACAAAGGGAGCACTAATTTCTGTAATCCTCATTCATAACAACTATTACTTTAGAGTGGGATTTTGGCCTTAATTCTGTTCCCGTTGATATCAATGGTAAAACTCCCACCGACTTTAATAGGAGCACACCGAGGTCAACTCAAGAATGGTTTTGAAAATCTCATCCCTTACTTTTTGCACAAGTTTCAAAAGTTTGCTTGAAGAAAAAAGCAAAAAATTAGGAGATAAATACTGCATCTGGATCTTCATTGTGAAGGGTTTGTTTTGGTAGGGAACTTAGGAAAAGACTTTGAGCGAACTATGTTGCAACATGTGTGTGTACCAAATACTTCTTATGAGCAAGAGACCAAATTCTCTTAATTTCTGATCTAATTAAGAACTGAACTCAGGTCTTTCAAGGTCAAAGACAAGTTAGTGCATTAACTGCACTATGCAGTCAGTAATTGAGTCTACTTATCTTGCGCTCCTTTCCTCCCTACCCGCTTCTCTCCTCACCCAACCCCACCAAGGATGCCACAAAGTATCTGATTGACATTCCCCATGTCATCAAGTTTATTTTCAGGTGGTGGGGGACAAGCTACAATAGCAGTTGGTTAGCTAAAGCATTTTCCTTCCATTTGTTGTTACTGTTAAAAAGTGTTGAATGATATAAAATTTATCCTTTCAAGTTCATTAGGTTCACCAGGTTAAGTTGTTACAAGTTCTATAGTAACATAGCTAAAAGAAAGAGACAGAAGGTAAGGTACAATGCCTTTGGTGTACCTGGTACAAAATAATACATATAAAAATGACAAAAGAAATTCTGCTATAAAGCTTCCCCATCAACTGGTAAACTTTTGTTAGAAACAGATATTAATTAGATAAACATATAGATTTAAGATGAACTAGAGCGTTTCAAGGTTCCTTTGATCCATATGCTAAAGACAGATCAGTTGCCTTTAATTTACAGATAGGTACATTTCAGTCCTATTTGAATGGATGTGTGAATCAGCTCAGAATTAAGAGTATCTGTTTAAAATCCAGATAGAAAGATTGCATATAATCAAGATGGCATTTTACTCTTCTCTTGTTTTCTCAACTCCTACAGAGCCTTGTAGCGGATTCAAAACCGTTACTGTGCTCTAAGTCCTTTTCACAAACCATAAAGTTAAGATTTGTTTTGGCCTTGGTTGTAACTATTTCTTAGGTAACAACTGTGGTTGTAGTCCCAGCGTGGTTGGGAATCTCTGCAGCATTTGGAATATTGCTTTCAGTATATGTTATTCTGTAGCTATGATATGCTAAACTGCTGCAGAACAAATGTAATATGTGCACAGAGTACAATCTTTAGCAGTTAGCATTATTCTACTGCATCAATAATAATGCCAGTTAAGAACCAGGTCAAAAGACCAGTTACCACTGGATTTTGTTTATACATTTGTGACTTAAAGAGTTTAAAAACATCTCATCTAAGGACAAGATTCATTTTTGAAAGATATTTCATAAATCTTTAAAAATTACTCTCTCTAAAGATTATAAAAGGTTAGTCAAAACTTTTTAATATGAACAATTTGGACAAGCAGAAGTAGTTCTGGTTTTAAAGGTTATAGCAACAATCACTACAACTGGGAAGGAATCCACAAGGATGGCTATAACTGACAGTTTGTATTTCTTCTAAGGATTCTCATTAAAAAGATTTGACTGCTTATGGGCACGTTACCTTTTCCAAGTGACATGCCGTTCTTTTTAAATCTGCTGTTGGCGTTCCCCAGAATGTACTGAAGAGAACTCTATTTACATTCAAAAATATTTTTTTAAAGTATCTTCAGCATAGTGGAAATGCCCATAAATCAGTCAGTGGAAGCCTCCCTAACATAGGTGTAGGACAGCTTTGTTGATCTCTGGGTTTGTCCAGTCATTCCGGAGGTCATCTAGGTGATTATCGAAATCCACAAGGGTTTCGTAGGATTTGCTGTCCAAGAGAGATACGGTGATCCTCTGGGCTTCAGACCAGTCTTCACAATAATCACTAGAATGTAAAATAACTAGGAATTAATAGTTCTCAAGGAAAATGTTCTCCACCAGCTCTTTCAATTAAGCACTATGCAGTGTGACTACAGCTTAGGAGGCAGAATACTGACAGAGTTTTGTTTTTATAAGCTAGATGTTTCTCTCAACATTATGAAAAACAGAAAGCTTTCAAAGCATGGTCAACTATTGCCTGTTTTCTACTTACCAGGTCATTCTATATTATGTTGTTCAAGTGTAATAAGACAATTTTGCTCTTTACAGCTATTTACACAAAGGAACATCTCTTTATCACAACCTAGATACGAACATATTACTTACAAATGTGGGTCTTTGCATCTCCATTTGTTTTCATGATGCTCATACACATGAATGGCAGGTTCTGTGCACTCCATCGTAAATTTAGTGTTATCCACCTAACATGCAACAGAAACAAATCATGTTCTTTCCTTCAAGATCCCAAATAAAGAGATGATATAAAAATGACAGTGTGGTTTTGAACATCATAGCATCTTCCAGTCACCTCCATTAACCCATTCAGTGTTTCATCTTGTTGCTGCTTCTAAAGTGCCAATTTTTAAATGGTCTAAAGTGGTTTCTTTTAAACCACCAACATTCCACTGTAGCCCACCATTGCTTTTGCCCCATTGAGAAGGTAAGCCATTATGTCATGAAAGGTTTTGGAAGAATGCCTTCTTTATTCTCCCACCACGTACACAGAATGCAGCACCTCTCTCTATGACCAAGGAGAGCCAGAAGTAGGCTCTCTTTAGAGCACAGTAACTGCTCTGCTGGCCAAAAGGCGTTGCTTGAATGCCCTGCAAGGGACTCCCCAAGGCATTCTGAGGGCTCAGCAAGTTAGTCATCACATTACTCTATTAACAGAGCCAAGAAATGGGATTTAAACGCTCATTCCAATATTGTGATTATAATCAGAAGAGAGATAAATGAAATTATATACCATTATGAGTGCTGGGTCACTAAAGCCCTCTGCAATCCTGGAGGCTACCTTTTCAGCGACCTGGTTTGGACTACAGAAGAAGGTCAAGTTAATTGTACTATATATTTCAGCTGAAACCAGTAGGAAATAAGAGCTGAGAAGAGATATGAGAAAAACAGTGTTGTAGCAAACAGGAACAAGATATTAAACTGATACTACATTTGATCTAAGTCAGAAGGGTAAGAAAAACACTGAATCATCTCCCTTTAGCACATGATCTATATCTTAGCTGTGTTCCAGCAGTAGACATGATATATATTGATTTTAGTAAGGCTTTTGCTAGTCACATATAACGTTCTCATAGGCAAACTAGGAAAATGCAGTCTAAATGAAATTACTATAAGGTGGGTGGCACAACTGGTTGAAAGACTGTACTCAAAGAGTAGTTATCAATGGTTCGCTGTCAAACTGGTAGGGTGTATCTAGTCCCACGTGGGTCAGTCCTCGATATGGTACTATTTAATATTTCATTAATGACTTGGATACTGGAGTAGAGAGTATGCTTATAGTGTTTGCAGAG